CGGGGACGTGCTGCCCACGCTTACCCTTGGGTCTGGAGGAGGAAGAATTCGATTTGGCACAGCAAACTGCTGGTCCCTAATCTGTATCACACATGGCTGGCAACCCTGAAAAGGGATGCCTGTGTGGAAGAAGTCAGCTGTCCCTCTGTGTGTTTCTGTAGGTTGAAGGCTGAAGTACCAAAGGAAATGCCCATGCCACCTTTTGCTCTCAAAGGGTTGCAAAGGCAGTGTGTCACTCTGGTATCAGGGAACTCCAGCTCTTACGAAAAAGAGGGTGGTGTTTTCTGTTAACTTCGTGATGCTTCTCTTTAGTGGGTATGGGGAAGTAAAGAGGGGAGGGCTGTGTACCTGTATGTTCTAACAGAGCTGCACTGCAGGGACCCCTTTGAGCACGTTGCATTTTGAAAACCGCTCCCTGACCTTACAATTTGCTGTCTTTGTAACAGCTCGTGTGACATTGCCAAACTAGTTGCAAAAAGTCTGCCTGTTAACCTCATAGTCTGGAAAGCTGGATGTATGAAACGGCTGTCTGAAGATACGCCTTCCAAGACCCTTGGCCAGGCCAAGTTTTCTGTACTTAAGATTGCTGTTGCCACAAGAACAGCAGATGTTTGCACAGCAGACAAACAACATTGATGATAAAGCAAATTGACCTTTTTTGGAACAAGCTATTTGGAGCACATTCCTAGGGCAATTTTTTTTTTTCTCCCCCCCCCCCCCTTTTCTTTTCTTGGCCTGCATCTTTCTTTATAAAACTGCTTGGCTATACATTGACATGTCTGTTGCTAGAGGTGATAAAAAAAATTAAAGAGAAGGATTTACAAACTTTTCCACTAACACTGATACTACGAATAATTAAACCTAATCCAAACCTATTTTTGTCGGCCGTATTTTACTGAAGTAGTTATAATGATGTTTATTTTTCCAGTGTCCCTATGGGAACCCTGGAAGATTCCAAAATGTAATAATTAAAGAATGACAGGCCTTTCCTTACAATATAAAGCAAGGAAGAGTTTTGCGGTTTAAACAGCTATGCCGTTGCTTGTTAACAAGATATTTTGCCTTGTACTCTAGCCAGGCCTATAATGGTCAGAGAATGCTGAAGTCGAGAACTACACGTTTGTTTTCAATCAGTTGTTTTTCAAGTTAAAAGACTCTAATAGCTTGTTTTAATTTGTTCAGTAGTATTCGTCGGTTGTCTTAATATTTGTATTAAATCACTTGTACAGTACAGCTGAGGCTGTCCCAGTAAGGCAATACATTTGGTTTTCACTTTTTTTTTTTATTATTGCAAGACCTTTCTTTTAAGGTATAAAAGGTTAACTGAAAGTTTGTGGAATCTCTGTGAACTTGAGCAATATGCTTCTATTTAAATTACATTTTAAAAGTATTAAAATATATTATTAAACCTGTATTTGATTGTATAATTAAATATTTTGAATGAAATTACTATAAATTTGAAGTAAAAATATCACTACGGTGAAAATCTCAGTGTTGTATGGCTGCATCTTTACTGTTTGGACCTAAATCCTTGTTCTTTTGATCATAAGCTGATGTTCCTGTAGTTATAACAAATGTAACAAATGAAATTTTAGAAAAATTTACTAAGTTCGGACTTTGCAACCTCTGAGATTTTTGAAGGCTTTCGTCCATTGTACCACTAACATTCGTGGCGGTGTGCTGTATTGCTTGACAGGAGAAGCATAAGACCCTGCATTTTTGCGATGGTGTTTTTCAGATGTGAGTTATAATGCTGATTTAAGGACTAGGATAAAGAAGTTTTGTGGGGTTTTTTTAGGTATTAAAATTACAAGTACCTTGTGTCTTGACTCAGTTTATAAAATTGCTTTGCTGGATAGTAGGCAGTAGGCTTTTGGACAAGGATTTTGTAATGCCTTGAAAGGGTACGTGTTACTATCAAAATTCTAAATTGAATGATGGGTTATCTGTATCAGCATTAGGGTTTGGGTTTTTTTTAGCAGGATTAGTTCATAACATTAGAAAGACAAGACAGTGAACTCTAGGAGAACCCAAACTGGGTTTCTTATGTGTGTCTAGGTATAATTTGGTTGTTATGTAGGGTCATTTGCTTTCAGAACTTTTGAAAACCAATTCCCATTTCTGTTTATAAACATTATTCTGAATGAATTGTTCTGCAGTGTGATGCCTGTTACCACTCTTCACTGCAAATACAGCTGTACTAAATCCATCACCCTCTGTATAGGCACAAGCAGATATAGATGGGTCCCTGTACCATGAAAGCATATGCTAAAAAGGATTTTGTGGGCCATGTAAAATGGCTACCTTACTTTTTTATTTCCTTCTTGATCCAAGTATGTGATGCTCAGTGCCTCGTCTGTTACAAAAACACTGTCCCTGTTTTATAGATGTGAAACCGGGGGTGAAGTATGTGAAGTTGCTTGTTTCGGATCATTGAGAAAGACTGCTTTTGAGCCAGAAATTGAACTGAACATTTTCTGAGACCCATTCTAGTCCTATTTTCACTGGGTTACACAACCTTCTTTTATGGGCAACTTTTATGAACTGTATTTACTGAAGCTTCTGTTTTAAAATCATGTTTAATACTTTACACAAATGAAATCTGATTTTAAAACAATTATTTTTAAAAGAACTAATTTTCCTGCTTAATTATTTAAAGTTTTGGGGTGGTTTTTTTTTTTCCTTTTTACCAAAGGTTGTGTTATGTGGGTTTTGAGGTAGAGTTATCAGTAACCTGGATGTATTACATGCATGTAGAGAGCGCATGTTAATGAACCGGGACTGGTTGGCTGTAGTGCTAAATGGGGCTGAAAGAGGGGAACGGTCCCCCTGATACTGTTTAATTGCAAAGAACACTGGGGTTACCTGGCTGGAATAAGATACCTTATTTTGCTTACTGCTTTCAAAGGTATTATAAAAGAGGGGAAAAAGAAGAGGGAAATGAAGCTTAACTTTATATATGTGGGGATTTTCCATTTAATGTGTTGATAATGCCTTGAGTACAACTGTTCTTGCTTCCAGAAGCCAAGAATTGACTATTAAGTGTCCCCTATCTTGAAGTGATCTCTAAAAATATTGCACGTTATATTGTCCAGGCCAATATCGCCCTTCCAGTTATCATTCATCAGCATTTTATTTTTTCACTGAATACAGCATTGGTTTGCTGTTTGGCGGAGAAATTAATATTGTCCAAAGCAAACTCATTATATCATACTTTGCCTTTGCAACCACAGTTAACAACACATAGCACAGATGCAGTGGATGTCTTATGAATTCAAAAGACTGTAGAAAAATATGGTCAACTTGCCTCCTTTTTTTTAATTTTTTTTTTTTTTTAATTTGAAAAAACAAAAGCAAGCTTACTTCATAAACTTTATCACAGCAGTTTTGGCTTAGTTCTTACTGGTCATTACTTCTGGCTTTAAACTTCATTATATTACATTAGGGAATATAAGTCTATAAGCAAAATGGTCTGTTTTCAGCTCTCTTATTACATCTATTTTATGTTACTGTTACCTTGTTGTTTAGTTTTTTGGATTTAGTGTTGTGGTTTTTTTTTTTTTTTTTAAAATGATTACTATTTTCCTTTCTTTCAGCCAAACCTTTTACATCTAAAGTGAAACAGATGCGACTACATAAAGAAGATTTTGAAATCCTGAAGGTGATTGGTCGAGGAGCCTTTGGGGAGGTATGTATGTGAAGGAGGTGGAAGGAAGGGTTTGAATAGTGCTCTTGCAAATCTGCAGCACTGAGGAGACACAGTTAATAGCAATATACCGATGTACGTGTTTTTACATTATTTAGGCATAATGGATATTGTAGGCCCACCTAATGTTTGATGCAAGTACATTTTGATTTATACATTCTTTGACAGCTCTTTTTTAAGTCTTTTAAATTTTGAGAGAAGGCAAGTTCGCATGGATTAAAAGACCATGTTTCAACTGTCTGATGAGAAATCATTTGCTTGACTGTAATTCTTTCCAGTCAGCAGGTGGAGGCCAGTGAATTACTGATGGAATAAAGATCTAGACATTTCTAATGATCCTGATAACTGAATAGTCTGAAAGTAGTTTTCAGCAAATTAAGTAGCCAAATATTTATATTGACATTCTCAGAACACAGAGAAATCTCTCTACTCCTGTCACTTCATTTCCTATTTCTAATGAATGTTTGAATATTTTTCTTGTATTCCTTTTGAAGAGTTTAGCAATGTTAGTTTCTTTTTCATTTGTCACCTACTGCTACTATACAATTTTTTGCAGCTTCTGATTAAATTGTCTCTTATTTGAAGTTATGAGGCAAGGCTGTTGATCACTAGGTTTTACTTACACTAGGCATGTCAGACTATATAGGTTGAGGAAACTTGAATAAATAAATGTAAGCTTTCTGCCCCTTCTTAATTATATTAGGTGCATGTACTTTGTTCTTCATGCAGGACACTTTATGTAGAAATAATGTATAATGTATAACAGTGCTTTGGATTTTTGATAGCCAAGTACAGTACAGATGGAGATAGTATGTAAAGCTTCTGCAGAAGGTACTCCATACTGCCTGAAAATACATGCAAACTGAAACCCGAAGTATAAGAAAAAGATTTTCTGAGCAATGTCTTCATTGCTTTTGGAACTGGAAATGGTTTGGTTGTTTGGTTTTTTGGGGTTTTTTTCATTTTTCTTTGGTATGAGAGTATCTCTGGAGGCTCTATGGCACATGACCAAGAAGAGCTGGTTTAACATTCACTTACGTGTTAGTATCGCATGTGAAAATTAGCCTTTACCAGTCTGTGGTTATGGAAGAATAGATTTCTGTAGGTAGTATGTAAGGAACAGGAATTTTTACTGTATTGTATGTCCCTATCTACTCTTATGATCCCTATATGCAAATGTCATCATTGGGCAACTGCAAAAATAGCAATAAAAAAGTAGTATTTATTTAGCTACTTTACCACTTCTGGTTGGTTTTCTTTCATCTGGACTAATGCTTCTTTGTAAAGAAGACTGAAGGCTGAAGTTACTCATGGATAATTTGTCTTTATTCTGAACCTCTGCCACAAAGAAAATGTTGCATTCTCTGTTTTGATGTAAATGCTTGTGCTTAAAACGTTGGCTTTTCTCAGTGCTGCCGCAGTAGTTGCAGCTGAATTCATGCACAGATTGTATAAGATACAAGAAAAACCATTCATGTGGGTGCTTTCTCGTTGGAAGATTCATATGGGAAACCTGCCTTATATTGTGTTTTTAAGAGAAGTAATTTTTGTCCACTAAATCAGCACCAAACTCCACAGCAGCTAAACCACAAAAAAACTGTAGTTCTTTCTCAGGAAGCTTGTTTGTGGTGAATCATCCCATGAATAGTGGGAGCGTAACTTTCCCCGTCCTCTTTTGGGGATAGTCTGTGTAATTGGTTAGTTCTCCTCTTTTTTAGGAACAGTGTTTCTTTCTAATTCCTTATCCGAGAAAGATAGCATGACTCTACTTAATTGTCAAAATCTTCAGTAAGGGGAAAAGTGAAGTTGTCTCTGTGAAGACGTTTGCATTTGTATGTTCTTAAAGTAGTACTTACTAAATACTTGCAAGAATATACGTTAAATTTGCTTACTAGCTTAAAGACAACAAGTTTCAGGTCCTACACAGACATTTGTCTAAGAAAGCAAGTTCTGTATGAAATTACTGATTTTCCTTTAAAATAACCAGTAAATATCCAAGAAGGTTGAAAAAAGGACCACTAGGTTTTACTGCTACTTAAGCCACCAAAAACTATGTTAATATGAAATTGCAGAGTACTTGTATGATTCAGTAGACTACAGTAGTTTACTAAGGCAGATTAAGAAATCTAGAAGAATGTATTTTCTTTCCAGCCGACTACAAATGAGACCAAGGTTGCTCTAGGTTACTGGGAGGAGTAATTTTTGTCTCCTGAATCAACATAATTCTGAAATTCTGTAGACTACAAACTCAGTGCAAGTTTTCTTTGGCACAGTCTCAGACTTGTTCTTATTTTGATTTTATGCTACTCAATCTTCAATTTGCATAGTCAAGAAATATTTCCCTTTTTGTTTTTACAAGTTTGATGTAGGCAAAAGTAGTTTAAACTGGTTATTGCTTATAACTGTAAGAGTTCATTGTTCCTGGTTTTCTTTTTCCCCTTACCTTGCTTGCTGCCAGTCTGAGAATGCTTCCTTTTTGTCAAATTAACAACATGCCCCTTCCCTCTGCCTGCATACATTTGCTTTTTAAAAATTTTATGTAGGAGAGTGCTGCCCTTAGAAAACACAGATGTTTTGCTTGGAGGAGGAGGATTATCCTGGTAAAATTAATGTGGGCATCAAGTGTTTCATTGTGCTGGCTTCGGGCAGCATGTTTTAAAAAACTTAACAAACAACTCTAAACAAGAAGACTTTAAACTTGGGAATTGCAGAATGCTGTGAGGAAAGGTGAGGCAACTGGGCATCAGCTCTTAGCGGTGTGTCTCAGCAGGATAAAAGCGTGGCTTATTGAAGGTTCCAGCTCATAGCAAAATTCTCGGTTGATTCTGTTATTGCTTTAAAAAAAAAAAAAGTTCAGTGCTTGCTTAGGCAAGCAAATATTGTGTCATTATGCTGTTGATATTTCAAAGCTGATGAATTTTGTAGCTCTGAGAACTAGTTAGCTACTCCTAAATTTTGGCATCCAGTTATGAACAGTAACATTCTCTCTTCCAGTTTCTGGAGGGCTGCCTACTCTTGATGAACATGAAAACCAGTGCTGAGTGCTGAGTCTTCCCCCCCCGTCCCCCCCTTATTTTTATTTTTTCTTTCTTTTTTGTTTTTCTTTTTTTTTTCCATTTCAATTTTAATATCTTCTGGTTTAGCTTTTTTCTGTATAAGGCTGTTGCTTTTTAAGCAAAGGAAATGTGCAGACATGTATGCAGAGACACATAGCCAAGTTTGGGGCAGAAGGTGTCTGACAGCATGCCAGACTGTACTGCTGTTTGTGGGAAATATGGAAAACTTTTGGAAGGATGGGGAAAAAAAAACCTGACTAAACCAAGATGTTTACATCAGCACATACCAATCATTTCTTGTTGGGCTGCTCACAGGAAAATATAAATTTAAAAAAACGCCAACCTTTAAAAGTCCAATTTTAAGAAATTCCAGTAGCAAGACACTTCGGGATAACTAGACAGGAATGGTGGCCCTTTCTTCTGTCTTGACAGCTTCATTGGGGAAGGGAGAAGATCAAAACAGCACTCTGTGTATTTGGGTCTTTGTATACATAGTATTTACCTCTGTGTGTGTATGTAAACACTGCCTGGGCCTGTAATCATGTTTCAGATTTTTTTATTACGATTAGAAACTGCATCAGTCTGCTCATTGCTGAAGTGTCAGGTTTGTCTTTCACAGTCCTGAAATCAGTATTTTAGAACTTACTTTCATAAAGCACTGAGACACCCCCCCCCAAAGATGCTGTGGTTGCAGAAAAATGATGATGATTGTGATTTTTATTTATTTATTTATTTATTTTAGTGTGTGTGTGGTGGTTATTGATATGGAATAACATTAACGGCTTTCACAGACTAAAAGGCTGCTTCTGAGTGATTGTAAACACAGCTGGTAAACATGAGTCTATTTTTGTTCTTCAGGCACTCTTCAATACTATTACACATGCAGAGAAGGTACCAAGCCTTTGATCGTGTCATTGAAGCCCTGTGCTCCAGCTGTTAACCAAAGGCAGGGCTGTGGCTCTTTTGGCAGTATCCAGGTGAACGCTGTATGGGAGACTAAAGATTTAGGCAGCTGTGCGATTAGCGTATGTCTTTCAGTAACCAAGTCTTTTGCGGAATAACAGCCTTTCACTGAGTGTGCTACAGGCAAGAAATGAAATCCTGGAGTTGGACTTGAAATACATATTTTATCTTATGCCTCTGGCTGCCTATACAATGGTTAATGGTGAGGAAATACTTCCTTTTCATACTGGGCAGCAGTCTAGTCAGCTCTATGACCAACCTCTTAATTTTTACCTACAACAGTGGCAAAACCCTTAGAGGTCTTTAGGGCAGAATTACATTGTAGCTCCATACCACAGGCTGCATCAGGCGGAGGGGGTCCCTGTCATCCAAGATACTAAACAGTTTGCACACTGACTAGTTTCAATGCTAAGGCTTTCTCCTCCTGCCATTTCTTATTAGAAATCGATACAGATCATGGCTTATCAGAGTCTCAAGCTAGCTTTAGCTAGTAAAGTAAAAGGAGGCTCAAGATTCAAATCTGCATCGTGGGTTATCTATCGCTGCAGAGGATTCATCTTCCCTAAGGAAAATTGTGATGCTCGGGCTTGGGGTACCGCACACAGTAGAGCCAGATGTTCTTTATGCATTAAAATTAGATTATAGTCCAAAGTAACAAGGTATTTTTGTGTTTCAACTCTGAAACCTTGAGGGATCCCAAGTCTGGACTTGAACCTCAATTTTTATGCATGAAGTAATTTTAAAAATTTCAGTTCATAAACTAGCTTAAACAAGTAGATGTAGTAGCTTTCTGTCTTCTCTCCTTTTTTTAATCTTCCCCCCACTCCTACCCCCCCGGGACCCCAGACAGCAGCAGTGTCAGCTGGGCTGATAATGTATCAGCAGGGCTGATAAGGCATTGCTGCACATATGGGAAGTGGCAGCTGCTTTGTCTATGAATCTACAGCTAAGCAAGAGGTACACTTTTCAGATATGCTTTAGTTTAGACATCTGAGTATTGCAGTCCTTCAACGTGCGCTCTTGCTGTGTTCATGAAGCTGCTGCAGCTGATGACACATTTGAAGATGGTTGAAAGAGGTTTGCATGACACTTTCTTCAAACTGTCTGATCCTGTATTTTCTTTTCTGTTATCACTGTCTTCACACATAGCTTGTTTACTGATTATGAAAGAGGTGGAAGGAAAGTAGGATTCAACCTTGGTATTTTTTTGTCACTGGCCTGCAGGATGAAGATGATGATAATCTGCGTGACAGCATGTTGGTTTGCAACCAGATGCACACAGAAACAAACTTTATCGCCTTAAGCCTTAAGATTTATTTGAAAGGGAAGAGGTAGAATGGGGTAGTTGGAGAATGGTTGTTAAAATTTATTGATTGTTGAACTTTTCTATAATTGGGAAGGTAATGTAGTGGTGTGGACTAGTTCTGATCAGCTGCTCTGAGTCTGTGGCAGATGCGTGGCCATTTCGCCTAAGACAGTTAGCTTTCCATACCCAGGGAAGCCTGAACTGTGAAAACGTTTGTGTAAACTTCTTCCCTCCCTCTTTCCTAAAAAGATTCCTTGTTAGCTTTTATTGTAGCTAAACAAAACTGTAATATTCTCAGAAAAGGACTGTGTTGATTGGCTTTGTTAATATATTTTTACATAGGCCTATCGTATCTAATGATTCAGAAGCAATGAGATGGAGGGGAACTTGTGTTTCCGAAGTTTTACTTTTCTAGAAAATGTGGATTTCACTGTTTCCTGCCACTGACAACTGACATGATAAAGAGCTCATTGAATTTCAGGTGGAAAAATGTGAAGTAATACTTTACTATTATCTTTGAAAAAAGTCTAGTACATTATTTGAAATGAGAGTGGAAGTTGTTTTATGGCAAACCTACAGTCTAATTTGTGTCTAAAACCTAAAAGATACTGTTTGTTTTGTTTTAGAAACTACTACATTGTTGTCTTTTTTTGGCGGTTCTGTAGTTTAAATTATTGTATAGGATTGAAGTCCAAGAACATAAAGCATACAGGCAGTGATAGCTTCATGATGGTACGATAGAGCACAGAGTGTGATGGTGAGAAATACTATTGTTCATCTACAGTCACCTAGAAAAAATGATACATAATGAAAGTGGGATACATAATGAAAGCTTAAAATAGGCTTGGAACTTAACGCAGAATAAATATCCTGTACTGTTGTGATATTACTTTTTCTTGATGGCGATGGTATGGTATTGTGTGGATGGTAAAGCTAAGTGTCCAGAACACTGAAGAAAAAACCTCCAAAACGGCAAGGTTTCATACAAATGAAAACAATATACATTTTCATGTTTTAACTTACTTATCTTTCATTTATCTTTTCCAGGTTGCAGTAGTAAAACTTAAGAATGCAGATAAAGTTTTTGCCATGAAGATACTTAATAAGTGGGAGATGCTGAAGAGAGCTGAAGTAAGATTACAGTAATGTTTTCTATAATCATGCACCCTCTTACTCTGCTGAATTGTTACTTCTCTTTCCACAAGACTGTGTGTATAGAGGGATTCAGGAGGTGCTTCACTGCTTACTGACAATGTGAAGATTAATATTAAAATAAGCTTAAAGCAGTTCGTCAGAAGGGTTAATGTGGCATGGAATCTTGATTTAGGTGGGGCTGGATGTTTTAGACATTATACCTTTTCTGTAATTGCCCAAGAATTACTGACTATAAAGCAATCTTTTAATGCATTTATTCCAGTTAGGAATGTAGTCTTTAGCAGGTATTTTCCATGGTGAAAGGTAATTACTGAGCTGTAACTCACCAAGCCTATTAGTTTGTCAGTAGTTAGAAGTTAGTCAAGGTCCAATTCTTAGATTGAAAAATAAGAAAGATAAAAGTTTCAAATTAATTTGAGTGCATGTTTCATAAAAATGTACATCTGCAAAAACTTGTGTTGAAAAGTTCCTCATTAAAGCTTGTGTCCATTCTGTGTTCTGAAAAAGATGGAACAACTCTTTCACCAGCCCTGCTTTGCCTTGGGTTCCTACTTTCATTATACAACCCTACTCTTCATAGAATCCTTCATACATTTCCCTGAATTCCTTTGAAAAGAAACTTACAAAATGAAGTCTACAGCTGAAGTCTTGTATATTACTTTTAAACAGAACATGTATCTAACTCTTTAAATTGCTTTGCAATTCTTCAACTATGCATACTAAAAATAAACTGCCTAGAAAACAGACTCATAAAAATATAACAGTGTTTTACACATACAAAGTTGCTTTGGCCATTGGGTTTCCTTTAGTTTGGACAGTGCAAGCACTATCTTGGTGTCTCTTCCAACTTGTCTGATCAAATTATATCTAACCTCAGTTTTTATTTGAGACTTCTACTTTGTTACTCTCTGACTGCCTTGCTGTTCAGTTGCTTCCAAGCTTATTCAGATTTCCTCATTCGTGTTTTAATTATATCTTGTTAGGAAATGAGATAAATGGAAAACTGTCACACTTTAAAAAAAAAAAAAATGTATCCAGATGAATTAAAGCCAATTTCTGATGTGTGCACATCCTGTCTCTTTTAATGAAAATGTTATCATATTAGGAAGTATAAATGGCATGCAGATTGTGGTTAGACATACGCAATGTGTTTCCTCTTTATCCAGAAATTATTCAGATACTGGGCAATCTGGCGTTAGTCTCGATACAAAGAGGTATTTCTCTCCAAGACAGATGTCATTACTGTAAGTTTTATTATTCCAGTGAAAAAGACCAGAAATAAAGTTCCACTCTATTTTTAAATGTACCCTTTTAAAGTCAGTTTAAAAGCTATTTCTTTCCATTAAAATACAGTTATAAATAGATTTGAAAGATTTTTCTGTGTGCAAGGTATTAATAATACTCCTCCCATGGGTCCAGCCGAACTTCTGAAAGTCTGAACCATTAGCCTAAAAAGAATTACAGCTATGTTTTTCCATGTATTTGTAACTCACGGGTATACAGTGGAAAGAGAACCATCTGGAGTGAAAATGCATTACAAAGCATGACCTTAAGCAACTGTAACCTGTCGTTTTTAAACGTCAATGAACGCATGTCACTTGCTGCTACTGCTAGGGAAAATGACCCATTTGGGCTCTGTTAGCAGTGTGCTGCACTAACACTGAAATGCGCAGGAAAATCATACAGTCCAAAAATGCAAGACAAGCATATGGGTAGATGTGTGCGTAAATGGCAGAAATAAGTTGCTCGTATATCCCTGTACCAATTCTGAGGGAAGTGAGAGTCATTTGTAAAAGCAGAAAGGGAGTATGTACTCAAAGAGGCTTGTGAATGCCAGATTAAGGTTGATGACTGCAAGCTCTGAAAGTAATTGCATGCAAAAACTTTGTTACAGTGAAATTATACAGGTTCCAAGGTCACTATTCTCTTTTGTATTATAAAGAGCATAAGTTTTCCAAATACTTGCCACTGTTGAAAACTCAAGAGATGTGATGTAGAACTTGGGGACATTACTGATAGAAAGAGTACCTGAAAGTGCGCGACAGCTTGCTGTTACACTCCCAGACCTGTTACCCTGAGTGTTGACAATGGCTTACAGTTACATGTGTGCCACGGTGCTGCCAGACGAGGCTCAGGAGAGACCAGGACAAATACTATGCAGCATGGAAGCAGTCAGCACTCCCGGAAGGTGCTAACTCTGAGCTGTAAGGACATGAGCACCAACTAGCTGAGCAGCCCGAATTCTTTGCTAGTTGAAAGCCACAGTAACAGTATATCTGTAACCAAAGCACTAAGTTGGCTTTGCTGTGACAGAGAGTGGGATTAGATGACTTCTGGAGGTCTCTGCCAACAAGTCAAGGAGACTGTGGCTAGGGAAGATGAAGTGCAATGTTGAAATAATGAAAGGTACAAAAAAAGGCTTGATTTAAAAAAAAAAAAACAAACAAACTTAATTGAGCTATGTTACAGTAGTTACAAGAACCACTGCTACCTTTTTTTTTTTTTTTTTTTTTTTTGTGGGGTTGGGCATGAATTAATATAAAGCCCATGAACCACTTAGACTCTTTGGCTGTTACTGTCTCAGCTGTGATCTACTGTTGTAATAGCTGTTGCTGTCAGCTCTCGGCACGCTGCCTGGAGGTGGGTGTCTAGGGTGCATGGTCTTTCATTAAAACATGGCAAAAACAAGTGGAATTATATAAACTCTCTGTACTAACTAATCCTGTGAATTGTGTCATAACAAGTAGAGAAAGTACATGTCATTTATCCTTGTGGAAACAGGAGTTCGAAGTATCACTCTGAAATATGTCAAGAGTTTACAAACAAGGAAGGAAAAAAATCAAGCCGAAGCATAGAACAGCTTTTCTTCATTCTGAAGATCATCCATTCTCCTTCTCCCACCCCCAAGTCCATTTTTCATTTAATAACCTTTGAGGGTATTTGTTTAAAGTATGTTTTGTTATTTTCTCAAATTTCACTGATTTATCTCATGTGTTGTGCTATGATTAAAATACACCATCTTTCTTTTTCCTGGTCTGCGTTATTCTTACTCAACGTATTCACCAAAACAAGAGTTGGTAGGGTTTATTTGCTTTGGTTTTAATGCATGTCATCTGGTGCGTAGCTCAATCTAAAATGATACTTCACTCTTCGTTCTTCGCTCTCCAAATCTCACAGCCAACAATAACTGTGTCAGAGTTCTGGTATTTGCCTATTGTTTTTGGAAATTAAATTGGAAAAGTAAAAAGAAAAGGCTTGATTTTCCTTTAAACTTAGCTGTCTCCTAAGATGGAAGAGGCAGAGCATGGTTCAAATTGATGAAACATCTTTGCGAAGTAGCAGAGTGTGCTGGAAGAGACTATGGTCTGTGTTTTTCTCTAATGCTCCATCTGCCTTCTAAATAGAGCCCATAAAGTTGTTATTCTTTCTTTTACGCTATCTTTTAAGACATTTTTCTGAACAAAGTTGTATGTTGGCTTATTATTTGATACATTTTGTTTTCCTTGTGGTATTCGCTTCAGAACTATGTCCCTTCAAAACATTTATCACGTTCCTTTGCAGTAGTTTCTTTTTGGCTTCTCATCTGTTTGGTCTTTTTCCTCTGTCATTCTGCAAAGCTGCTTTTGCTGAGGTTTTCATTCACTTCTCAGAGCAGGTTGCAAGACCTCCACTGAATTAACTGCCTTGCTGCTTTCTAGTTGGTTATTTTCTTCACATTTAATCTTTTATTGTTTCATATGAACCTGTGTTCTCCTCCTCCTCTTAGATATTCCTTAGCATTTCTTAGTGGTTCTTGTTCCTCCTCTGTTCCACTTGCCGTGAAGGCATCTTTTGCCTCCTGTGTTTTTTCCACTATATTGACGGGAGGCCCTCCTGGATGTCTTATCAACAGCTTATTTTTGGCAAGAGCAATATTCAATTCTGTCCCACTTTTCCTGAGCAAGAAGTGTGGAGAAAACCCCAACTGATTGATTGAGTATCAAATTATGGCTACACGGAAGTTCTTGGCAGCAGCTTTCAAATTAAAAGAACCACCTTGCTTATGTGAAAAATCATGTGCAAAACCAGGCTAAGAGTACGATGAGATGAAACGACACAAGATTCTAGATTCTAGTTCTTGAACTCCTACTGTAGTTATAGAATGCCAATGTTGATTGTTTTCTTCAGTCTTGTATTGCCATTCTGTCATCATTGATACTTGATTTCAATATCTGTATGTACAAAAAAGATAAGATTTTGACTTGGTATTTTTAGACAATGGGAAGCAGCAGCCTATTTCTGCCTTTGCATCACTTGACAATGTAGAGGAGTACAACTCTTTAAATTAAAAGAAGGTGGACTTTTCTGATACCCCGTTTTTCATAGGTTTTGGCATGTTTGGAGAGTGTAGTAAATGACTTTTTAACTGAGAGGCAGTTTTGAATTTTTTTCCCCAAAATATAATGTTAAAACATAGTCAGCTTGCAAAATGTGTTTCTTTATATGTTTTTATTGACACCTATAATTATTTTTCTCCCCTTCAGACAGCCTGTTTTCGAGAAGAGAGAGATGTGTTGGTGAATGGAGATAACCAGTGGATCACAACATTACATTATGCGTTCCAGGATGAAAACTATTTAGTGAGTGTTGCTTTTATGTATACATGAGTGGAAATGCAGATTCTTAGTTGTGCTTTGAGACAGAAATATAGTTTGTTTATTTGTTAATTTTGTGTTCTGGACCATACAGACCACATGAGGATATGTGATTTTGTGCATGAGATTCTGAAGGGTGGAGAGGGGTCAGAAAGTTTTAAAGTTTTTGCTATAAATAGCTCAAGGAACGTGGCTTTGTTTTCTAAACCACTTTGCATTTGTTGATAAATGTTGGTCTATCTGCATCTTTTTTCTTATAATTCGTCAATCCAATCTAATTGGATTCATAAAAACAAAAGTGCACTTATTAACATAAATTTTCTTTTTTACTTTAATTTTTGTGATTGTGTGGATTACTGTTTTACAATTAGAAGTAGGAAGTAGCCTTGTTTGGACATAGCAGTTCATTTTGGTTGGCCTTTGCTTTTTTGAGGACTTAAACCCACTATGATGTCATAAAGCAATAAAATATTCTTGCAGCATGGAATAATGCCACTAAATGTTCATAAATGAGAGTTGGGAGCTGTAATTGTAGATTAAAGTGTCTCTTTAATATTTAATGTTAGTTAGTATTCAAGTTTTTTGAAAGACTTGCAAAAAGAAGCTAATATGAGGAAAAAGTGTGAATTTTATATGAAACCTTTCCCACGTAAAATATGTTTTGGTTGTGATACAGTTTTGGAATATTTATGCATGAAAAAGTAAACAACTACACATTGGTAGATTTTGCTTATTTGGGTTTTATTGTCCTGTGCTTTGGATTCCACATCATTAGTAAGTTCTAATGTTTTCTTAAAAATCTACTGTGTAGTCATCTTTATTTTCCCCATTGTGTCCAATAAAAGAGGTGCTACACATGTAATTCTTGCAGAATTGCAATGCTTTTTGCCATTATATTGCTTCTGTTCTGTCAGCTCAGATAGGACATCCATGGATTTTGGTGGAGTTTATATAGAAACAGGGCTCTGCATCTGTGAATCTAACTGTTGGCTTAAATACCTCCCAGCCAGCTCCATGGTTTGTCAATGTGGACAGTAAAAATAATCTCATGTTTTATGTAATTCTGATCTTATTATTAGCAGTATTTCAAAGAAAATATATATTCTGCAACAGCCTGCTAGAATTTGTTTTAGTCTTGCCAGTTTCCTGATTTTCACTAAGCACAGAGTAGCTTCTGTTTTTTGTCTTTGGTAGCCTGCTAACAGGAGCTAGTTTTGCAGCCTGCTGGGGAAAGTATCAGTCTCTTTTTCATCATTTTAGTCTGAAGGTATCGCTAGTTCTCTACGTGCTTTTTGTTAAAATATAACAGAAGTGGCACTTAAAAAAAATCTGTGTAGATTGAGCAGTAGATGTGGTTGAGCAGTGGATGTTGTTTACCTTGACTTTAGTAATGCATTTGGACACTGTCTGCCATAACATCATCACAGACAAGCAGACAAACTATGCATTAGGTAAGCAACAGTGAGGGGGATTGAAAACTGGCTGAACTACTTGGCCTAGGGGGTTGTGATCAGTGACACAAAGTCCAGCTGAAGGACAGTCAATGATGGTGTACTCCAGGGCTTGATACTGGGGCTGACATCTTTATTAATGACTTGAACAGTGGGATGGAGTGCACCTTCAGGAAGTTCACAGGTGATAAAAAACAGGGAGAAGTGGCTGAGATGCCAGATGGCTGTGCCGCCATTCAGATGGACCTCAACAGACTGAAGAACTGGGCAGAGAGAAATCTCATGAAGTTCAACAAAGGGAAATGCAGCGTCCTGCATCTGGGGTAGAATAAAATAAACCCAGTACATGCTGGGGGCCAGCTGGCTAGAAGGCAGCTTTGCTTGAGGTCCTGGTGGATAACAAGCTGAACATAAGCCAGCAATGCACCCTCGTGGCAAAAAAGGCCAAGAGTATCCTGGGCTGTTTCAAGGAAAAGTGTTGCCAGCAGGTCAGTGGAGGTCCTTCCTCTCTACTCAGCCCTGCTGCATCTGCATCTGAAGTATTGTGTCCAGTTCCGGGCTCCCTAGTGCAGAAGACAGATGGTGATACCAGAGCAAGTCCAGCACAAAACCAGAAGGATTATTAAGGATGAGAAGCTGAGAGAGCTGGGATTCTTCAGCCTGGATAAGTGAAGGGTTGGGGGCGTTACCGTCAATGCATTTAAATACCTGATGGGAGGGAATGAAGACAAGGGAGCCAGATTCTTCTCAGTAGTCCCCTGTGACAGGACACAATGGACACAAACTGAAACACATGGAATTTCATCTGAACACAAGAAAACCCTTTTTTACTGTGAGGGTGGTCAAACACTGGAACGTGTTACCTGGAGGAGCTGTGGAGTCTCCATCCTTAGAGATACTCAAAACCCAACTGGGCACAGTCCCCATCAGGCCGCTCTAGCTAACCCTACTTGAGCAGAGGAGGTTGGAGTAGATGATCTCAAGGGGTCTCTTCAAATCTAAACAAGTCTGTGATTAAGTGCCCATGTTAAACTTTGAGTTACTAGAATTTAATGTCCTTAAATCTGTGCTTTTTCTTTGTCTTGCAAGCACGGTGCTGTTGTAGAGTAGTATTTTGAGAAGTATTTCAGACTTGAATAGATCTGGATGATTGTGTGCATTTAGATAGTATTTTTAAAGCTTTAAAAAACCGCCATTTTTTTAAGGACATGGATCTTTGACATTGGATAGGATGCTATGCATTGACTGAATTGTTTTATTAAAAATTTAGTTCTTAAACTTAGCTTTGATTCCTATACATAGCTTCAAGTGCATGACTTGACATGCGAGTTACAGTTTAAATGTTGCCATATTTGAGGAGTTGAGTTTCCTTGTGATTAGGCTACTGTGCTGCTCTTACAAAATGGGAGGTGCAGATTCCTGTGTTGTAAGAAAGAGCCAAAATTCCTTTATTTTGATATATCTAGTTACTGAGTTGTACTGCTTTTAAAAATGCTGAAGAATGAGTGCGGAGATGTCACATCAGTTATGAGAATCTTACGACATTTTTTCAGTATACTTTCAAAGCAATAAATTAAGGTCTTGGAGAACTCGCTACATAGGTACCAGTTAATAATAATTATATTAAGTTCCAAAGGCTTAATGTGTTTTCTAAAACTGTAAAACATGAGAAGCTAATGCTGTAGATCTTGTTTCAGAGGAAGTGTAGTAGCACCACTGACTAGAAGATACTTATCTTGTGTAAGGCTGCGAGCATATTTTAAGAAGTTTTACTATTCATGTCACAAAGCAAAAGATGAAATTTTGATTGCCAGCACATTCAGAATTTTGTGGAAATGCATTTTGTGCTTTCTTCATGCACTTGGAATCAGTGAGGCTGCCCAGGTTATTCTATATCAAATTGTTAAAGTCTTTGTTCATCACCTGTATTGTTATGGGAAGCATGAGGGAAAAGAAACAGGCATAAGGTTTCTGCCTGCCCCACATCTTCCTTATAGCTGGTATAATTTTGCAGAATTTTTTCTACATATTTTAATTTCTTTTTCTGTTGGTGGGAAAGACTTGAAGAAATGAGAAGAAATTATAAAAAGTCTCTTTAATTTGCTTTACCAAAATTTTAAAGAATCCAGTTGGGATATACGTTATTGCATTTTTAATATTTTATATTATTTGCAATTCATTATGTACTATTGTTAAGAGTCACTGCTTCAAATGTGGTTATGTGCAGCCTTCCTGGAAGCAGAGGTTGGAATGCTAGGCAAAAGTTTTCAGATACTATATCCTTTAGTGGGAAACTATTCTAATTAGTCTGTCCACAATGATGTTTGAAAATAATGTCATAGCAGTGGGTGTTAAATTTAGATTGCTTATAATTAGTTTGTTAGTCCCCCCCCCCCCCCATTTGCCCTTCCAGTTGCCGTTCCACAATTAAAACAAACCAAACTGAGATAAAAAGATATGAATTGTGAATTTCCACTTTTCTTAAGTTTACTTAAGGTCCAGTCATTTTGACCATATCTCTAAAGGAAGTGGCATTTTGTTCTGTCATAATATAGTAAAATGGAGAAAGGTTCTGATCTCTTCAAAGTCTTTGCACCTGATTCAATGGCAAGCAGGTTTTATGTTTCATTAATAAATCAGAAATCAAATGTATTTTTCCCTATCAGTTCAATGATAGAAGGTGACACCTTCCACTGTGTGTTGGCAGATGCTGTGTTGTGCGCAATGTCAACAATATCTGGAATTGTACTGTGAGCCACTGGAAGTACCTTAATCTTTGCCTCAATCTGAGTAGTCTAAAAACTTTACTCTTTAATTGTTTGTTTAATGGGAAGAGAAGATGGTAGGAAAAAAGGGAAAGGGAAGCCTGGGAAATTAGGGCCCTTAAATGAGATCCCAAGTTAACACAATTGGTTTCGGTTTTATAGGTCTGTGATTTAATCCTTTATTTCTTTTGCATTCTATCAAAGGATATTGTTTTTATAAAGGAATCCAGAGTATCTAAATATTTTATGTTTGACAGGACAGTAGATGAAGCTGATACTATATGGTATAAATATGAAACATATTCAAGTAGGTTAAATATTAAAATGAGGCTGAACCAGCTACTTTTTTTCAGAACATCTAAGCATCTTGGTTAGCTTTTATAATGCCCATAATAACTTCTGCAATAAATCACTTTTTATGCTTAAACTAGTTTTTAGTCTCTGATTCACTCAATAAATTGTTGGGTTTCCCTCTCTCCCCCCATGTTTTCTTATCATTCCCGCTCCATAGTACCTGGTTATGGATTACTATGTTGGAGGAGACCTGCTTACGTTGCTCAGCAAGTTTGAGGACAGACTACCTGAAGATATGGCTCGGTTTTATTTGGCTGAAATGGTGATAGCTATTGATTCAGTTCATCAGTTGCATTATGTTCACAGGTAAGTAATTTGAGCTCCAAATTCCTCTTGGAGTTATGGGGAGTTACCTGATGGGGTGAAAATAATTCCCGTTCAAGAGTTCAAACTAGTAAAAGGTATTTGCTGTAATAGTAAGCATGATAGAACTGACCTGCCAACATCTTGTGGTTATTGAGGATTCTTGTTAACCTTGTGTCATATGGTCAGAGATACGAATGAGTATCTGAATGCATGTGATGAATCTTGCACAGTGGTACATTTCAAAGTTAATGATCCATAATTTATAAAAGAAAAACTGGAAACCGGTTTGTGAAATACGATCAACTTTGAACAGGTTTATTGAAGGGTCAGATTCTGTTTCTTAATTAATTTGTTCAATCTATACAGAAGTTGAAAACGCACCATTGTGTGGTCTGCTTTGGATTTTTTTTCACCATTTTCTTTTGGACTTCATGAAATTATCTTTAAAATTAAGTGAGGGCATTTTGCAAAGTAAGTGGAAGTACGTAAATTGTTGTACTTAGCTTTATCTTGGTATATAAAAAAAATAATATTTTCCGTTGAACAGAATATGTTAAGTTGTTTGTGTAGCTTTTTTTTGGAGGCCATGATTGATTTTTCCCCAAAACTAGCATCATCTTTTCTTTACTGAATTCCGTGGTAGTTCTTGTATGCAGAGCAAAAGATTACCTTACAAGAGGCAGAATTTTCAAATGCACTCAGTAGATGTACTTTGCTCAACAGAAATCAGGAGGAAAACTCCCAGTTGTTTAAGCTGAATCATTCAGTTGACAGAATGAGCTCATTTGATACGTCCATCTATTGCTCTTAATCAGAGTCTATACTGGCCATTCATTCGTTTACTGTTCCCACTTGGCCGGTTCACTCCAGAAGAGGGTGGGGGCTTTTTTTTTTTTTTTGTCCAAAAGGTGTATTGTGATTGGGTTTGATTTGTTACTGGGTTGTATTTTGCTTTCTTTGAGATTGTGGCTTTTCATGAAAGAGCTGTAGCTAGGAGTGCTTTCAGGTCAGGTGGTGCTGAGCTGCAAATTGCTCTTCTGAAATATTTTGAAGTCTGCTAGTTTTGTTGAAGAACTGCATCTATCTGCTCTTTGTGATAAAGCTCTGTGGAAAAACCCAAGCAGAGTATTTTCCTTAAGCAGTTTTCTTGAATTTTGAAGATTTCAGCTGTTATTTCTGAGAAACTGTGTGTTCACTTAGGAACTGATATGAAAGGGGGTTGTATTCACTTTAATTTGTATCTAACTTTTAAAATGTGTTTGTGGGTAAACTGTTGAGATGCTCTCTCCTGTTACCAGGTAGAGAGTACTTCATGTACTACATAAACTGCTGCATTTTACCCAGTAAGTCTGCATATGTGATAGTAACTCTTCCCAGAAGACCAGATGCCCACCATCCTCTACCTTTTCCTCTAAACAGATCGAAACTGTTGTAATTCAGCACTGTTAGTGTATAATACGTATAGTGGATGTGATGTTTCCATCCTCAATGTCCCCAAGATGAAATATGTTTTGATGTAAAATTTTGATAGAAAATTCAGTACTGTTGCAGTTCAAACCAACATACTAATTATTATGTCTGCATATTTATTGCTGTGAATGTTTAACAAAAAAAGCCCCTATATGTTCCCAGTCCTTTTTTTGTTTGATTTGTGGCTTTGCCGGTGAGGTTCCCATGTTTATAAAGTTCTAATGGCGCTTTGGCATTTTATCATTAATACTGCTGTAACGTAATGCCTGTTTATAAGGGGATGTTTTGCAAAGATTAAAAATATAAGGAGCACTTGAGTATATGTTAAGTGATCAGACTTTGAAATGAGACCCATTCAACTGTTAGTTTTATTAGGATATTTGCAACTGGTAAAGCAAAAGAAAGGAAAACACATCATCTAAATGCCACTAATGCTCTTTTCCTGATAGTTTCACCGTGGTGGCCACATCCTTTTTGGGAGTGTGTTGCACACAGGAAAGGACATAGGAGAAGAAGGAGGAAAATACTCCTAAAAGGTGGATACTGTAACAGCTGTAATAGTGGTATTTCAGATGAATAGCCAATATGCGTCAGGATTTGATCCGAGTTGTAGCTAGTGAACTAGAAATCATGCTTTAGGCATGTTTCATTTCAAGTTTTTTTTTTTCATACAATGAGGTAGCAGATTGTTTTGGTTTGTTTCCTTTTAGTGCCCCAGTTCTTTCAGGATAGATTTTCACATTAACCATACAAAGTGTTGTGCTTCGATGTTTCTCTTTTTCTCTGAATGTTTTTGTACCTTTTAAAAATTGTGTTTCTGTTTTTATTCTAGGCATGCCACTCCTTTTGCACTTTTCTATCGTTAGTTGCTTTTCAGTTAGTTTTGTTGGGAGTAATACTGACTGCAGTGGTAGTTGGTGTGCAGATGACTCCAATGTCAAATGCAAGTTACTTTTCTTTCCTAAAGTACAGTGGCCACAGTTCTCAAACATCCAGTACAAGCAACTTCAGCATTACTTAAATGAAATTGCTACGACTGTATTTCAGGTTTTGGAGTTCCAAATTTGAACTGCACTAGCATTGTGGGATTATGGATGAATTTATAGTGGAAAGGAGATCGAAGTCTAAGTATTAGTAGAATTGTGCAGAGAAATTGCGTGATGTTTTCAAAGCTGTCTCCTGATACCTACTGAATTGAAGGAGAAAAGTTGCTAGCTGAAATAACATCAGTACTGTTCTTTTTAGGATTTTTTTTTTGTTTTTATCCACTTTTTAGTTTAAATAAATATGTGGTAGAATGTTTTTGAGATCAATCAACATAAAACTTTGATAATTTTTTATTTCTGATCAATTAATTTCTTTGAACAGATCATGTGGTATTTTACCTGATGGTTAAGTGATGACTCAGAATGTTAATAATTTAATGTGTATCTTAGCTTTTGCTATTGTTACAAATGCACCAGCGCTGGCATTACCAAATGACATTGACAGCTCCAAGACTAACTTTAGAAAGGAAGTGCTAAGAACTAAGTGTATGTGCAGGTGTTCATAATGAGGAAGAAAGTACATAGGTGTATCTCTCACAAATGCACCACTTCCTTGGAAGTTCACGTAAAGCTTCTACCTACTCCTGATTACTTAAATTACTAATTTGTGCTAATGAAGTGATGCTTGCTTGTAGGCCAAGGTGAAATATTGTCTTGTGCTGTTTTCTGCAAACTGTGGTATCATACAGGGTAAGATTTTACCTTTATTAGGAATCAACATCAATTTGTGTATTATAGATTTGTAGCACCCTTGCTGGTTTTTGGCTGAGAAAAGCCTCTACATGCATTAATATTAATTTCAGTTTCAAGGTTGTGTTGTTAGTTAATTCCTCATGGTATGTGCTAAAAGCTTGTATTTGCATGCATTATCAAATATCCGGGTGTGGGCTGGAGTAAAACTCTTATCAGCTTAAGCTAGGCAGCTACACTTTACGTATGCATGTTGCATTACCTCAAACATGTCAAATTTGTTTTTCCTAGAACAGAGACTTTAATTCCTTAATTATTTTACTGGTGAGCTAGGTATTCTCTCCATTTTGTCTAAGGTGGAAATTGAGGTTTAAAATGCTTTGTTTTGTCTAAATCCATTTAAGTAAAAAAGGCTTTAGAAGGCCTGGTTGCCACTGGAAGAAATCTCCCCTGAACATTGCAGAAGATATCCCCTGGGCACATACTAGTCTTAGGCATGGTGAGTGCAGGGTTACATAGCGATTCAGTGCAGAGCAAATTTGCAGCTAGGCAGTGTTCAACATTTAGGCTTCTGATCCTCCAGACCACTGCAAAAATACTCATTTAAAATAGTTTTCATTTATTGGCACACACCCACGTTAAGCAGTCGTCTTTTTCTACTGAATAGTAAAATGATCCTCATTTACCTTCTTACTAAGAAAACATTTCAGAAGGATTATGAAACACCTATGTTAATAATTATTTTTGTTGGTTAAGTTTATAGGAGGATAGTTAAGACTACAGGACAAGCTCTCAAGTTACAAACATTTCAGATGTCATCTTTTGCATGTGAAAAGATAGGCATGCAAAGCATAAACACACCTACTTCCATAAGGCGTGTGAGATTGCAGTTAGCTTGATCAGTGTGTTTCTGAGTTTCCAGTTGCCACTATCTTTTAGTCTGAAGGATTTTAGCATTCTAAACCACCAGATGCGTGGTGTTTGTTTTGTGGGGTTTTTTTTTCTTCTCTTTCCATTTTCTTTATCAGCTTCTGAAATTTAAGTTGGGCTTCACCGGGGCATTTGAGTTCTTAAAATGTAGAGCAGCAGAATTCTCTGTGGAAGTGACATCCTTTCTGAGAAATATTGAACATAAGGGTATAAATGCATTAGAGGGATAAGAGAACTGTCTATTCCCTCTCAAGCCAGCCTTTCCTTTGCTTTCAACAAGAAGGTACTATTTGTTCTCAGTAAAATTCATCTTGGGGACATCCCTGAAATATTTACTGTAGTTAGGAGGCAGCTGAAATCTGGGATTCTTTGTAGGATGCATTTCACTTTCAACTATAAGCTTCAGTGCCAGCATATCCATTTTTGACTTGCTGAATAAGTGGTTTTCTGTCTTCTGGGTGTATCCCATCTTTCCTGATCATTAATTTGCTTAAGTGGAAAATTTGGGGGTGGAAGGCACATCCTAGGGAGTTAGCTGCATTGCGCGGTATGTCTGAGTTGAGTTGGCACAAGGATGAGCCAAGTGCTCTGGCCTTTGGTAAAGTGAACCGTAATTGTGGGTTTGAAAGAAAGCAACAACATATTTTAAGTGTTTACCAAAGTTTGCAACAGACATAATGTCGAACACACACATGAAGATGTCCTTACAAAGTGCTGAGAGTGAAGGAAACGGTGCTAGAAAAATAAGGAAAAAATAACAAGATTATTTTGATAGTCTGCTGAAAATGTATTGCTTTGAAATGTTGCATGGTTTAGTTTTACATGGAAAACTTCAGGACAGAAAGTTATTTTAGTATTTGGTAA